CAACCAGAATGGCTGAGTGGTAAGTCAGTAAGTCTTACAGTACGAGAGGTCACTGGTTCGATTCTCGCCAACGGAAGCGGTTTGAATAGGCGCGTTTCGCGTCCGTGATGGATGATATCAAAAATATTCAGATGTGGCTGTATTCTACGGAAATAGAAGTGCTACTTGATGTCTCCATAATGCTTCTCTCCTCTCCCCGTCCAATTTTCATTTTTCCATCAATGATCCCCCTCTCTGTGACCTAAGCTACTCTCCATCGTTGTAATCAGTGACTCAAGTACACCGTCAAACACTGCGAGCTAAAAACAAGACTTTCGAAATGAAAAAAACCTTAATATGAACGTCTGAGGCGATATGTTCAGTTTTTTGCTCATCAGTTTGATATGCTGATTGGCAGACCTGTAAGTATAGACACACATTATTACTTTTGAATATATTCATAAACTTTTAGTGAACTGAACGTCATGAAAAGAAATATCTTTTAACTAAAGAACTAAAATATAAATATAGACATATTATTAAAAATACTAAAAAACTGAAATGAATATTTTTCGATAAATGAATCTAACAATCAGGCTTACCAAACAAACATCTCGTAACCATAAATCTGGACGCCACACTGGACTCATATGGCCGTTCGATGTGCTCTTCCCGTTTGCTAACTTGGTCTCCATCAAGTGCAATCAACACCTGGATTAATTGTATCCAGTTCTATTTGAAAAAATGACTGTTCAACCTAAAATTCAGTTACGTTTAATATTTGTCGAAAATTTTCTGAAAAAAAATAGAACGCCAGTAAGCAAATGCGCCGCTTGACGAACAATAAATTGTGGAGAAAATGGAACACGCGAAAATTTGAACAAATGAATTATTTTGCATAATAACTCATAAGATAGGCGCCTGATCCGTTGAAAAAAAAATCATGCACTAGCGGGGGATTTCAAAGAAAAACATTTCAAGAAATGCAAAATCTATCCAGATCTGGATAGATCCCACTTTTCACAACTGAAGAAGCNTACGACGAGTACACCACAGTTGTCTGCACGCAAGCTATAATAATCTACCGTACTCTTTCGGATAATACGAGAAAAGAGATGAAAGAGATAAAGGTTATATGAAGGG